TCTTTTTTAATTATATAGGCCTATGATATGAATCATGACCGTCGATATTCTGGTTCTAGGCTCAAAACAAGATTCATTTTATAAAGTTTATATATACAGGCGAATATGATGAAGGGAAAAATTAAAAGGCGCCACCACTTTCTGTACGTAATCAAGATTGTAAATATTTTGTACGTGACTCTTCTTACTTGAAATTATCTCCCAAACCCTCATATCGGTGTGAAATAACCTTGCTTTGATAAATTAATGGTTTTTATTTCTGCATTCTAGGGTTCAACAGTATAATAATAATAATAATGGGTGTTTCGCGAAAATGGGCTTCTGTGGCGATCACCCGGAAAGTTCCTCCTTTTTTAGAATTCTGAGTTGAGACCCATGATTGTGTCGCTAATGGACCGTTCTTAGAGCGCATATCAGATTGTCTGATGAGTTTTCAAGGCTCAAGACCTGCATACTAGTATTACTAGGCTCTGTTATACTGGAGATGGCCAATAAAATGTTATTCAGAGGTCTGGCCACATAAAGAACCTTTCAGTAGTGAGGACAGGGGCGTCCATTGACTTAATACTGTACAAGACAATACAATGAGTACAAATACACGTTGGCCATTAGGCGTCCAGAGACTTTGACATCAGTGTTAATAATGATAATGATAATAATAACAATACAGTGAAAACCATATTATATTATAACAGGCCCGGTAATAACAGGAATCAACAGGGATTTTTTAAATCCCCGTTTTTTCCTTCTCTTTCTCTATATTAAAAGTTATCGGCAATAACAGGGCCTCATCGGAGCCCAACCGGTTATAGCAGGGACAAAGGGTCGTTAACAATGTGTAAAAAGTAAGAGAGAGAGAGTAACGCAGTGATGGAGCAAGCCCACGCAAGCCATGCCACTGCAAGCACACGCAGCGTGTGAAGCGAGAGAGGACTGCGGTGTGCTGCAGACCTCGATCTAGCCCGAAACCTAGCAACACGCACGCGTAATGTGTCGCCAACGATGTCAAGCGCAAGAGAAAAAAAAACAAAAGAACACACGAAATAATCCAGGATGTTGACAAAAAGCAAGCTCCACTTGCAAAGATTTGTCGTCAGTTCGACATTCCACAAGGGTCGATTCACATCATTACATGTATCAAGGATAGAGAGAAGATAGTGGCAGCATACTCCAATGGAAAGTTTGCTCTGGATCGAAAGAAGATGAGACTACCCGATGCAGATGCTGTGGACCAAGCTCTTCTGATATGGTTTTAGGAGACAAGGAGAAAGTTAATGTCAAAACCCGTTTGTGGGTACTTGTGGCAAGGGAAACTACCCATGAATAAGTACAGCTATAAATACTATAATAGTCCACAAATGCTTACATTCCTTGTATTTCTGATTTAACAGGGATCGGATATAACAGGATTTTCTCTACTCCCTCCATCCCTGATATATCCCTTTATATAGCGCGTATATCCACGCTCTACAGCATGCTCTATAAACTTTGCAACTACATATAACAAGTAGTGTCTGAAATGCATGCATATTATTATGAGTAATATGAGCTGTATTGTTCAATATATACACCATCGGTCTTACAGCCAATCAACTGGAGGGACCTGGCCGTACGCTAAGCTTTGCAGATGATGTATTGGTATATAGGCAGGGGAGAGATCGGGAGCTGATTGCAAGGACCATGCAGGAGGAATTAGATCGAATTGGTGAATGGTGCGAACAGAACAATGGAAAACTTAATCCAGCGACGGCAGGGGTACTGTGGACCAGTCTCAACAACAGGGCAGTCAAGGCTATCATGCCTACTGTCAATATACAAGGTACGCAGTTGGAAAGGCAAGAGAAATTGAAGTACCTGGGCATTACCTTTGACCGCACCCTCTCGGCAAAAGACCATGTGACGAACATTATCACCAGAGTAAGGAAAGGACTTGTTGCACTGAGAGTGATGGCTGCATCTATGCCCCAACGCGCCCTTATGATCATGCTTCAAGCAGTTGTACTGTCTGTAGTGGACTATGGCCTTGGTAAGCTCACCCTATCCAAAACCCAACTACATCGCCTCGAAGTCATTCAAAATGAAGGAATGAGAACTGTTCTTGGACGCACCCGTGACACAGCAGCATCAGCGATGAGATATCTGCTCGACCTGCCAACGTTAACCCACCGACACAAGCTAGCACAAGTCAGGGCCTACCTTCGAGTAACAGCCGACGAACGTCACCCTCTACATCCGAAAATAGGAAACCAAGTACGCCAAAGATTGAAAAGAGGATCTTCATGGATGGTGCAGGCGGAGCGAACTCTCGATATGTGCTGTGAAATCGAGGACATAAGAAGAGGGTGTGACTGGATGAGGCCGGAGAAAGACATGAGCAACTTCATGAAGGTGATAGCTACGCTAGGTCGAGAGTGTCGCGAGTGGCCGGCAAGTGCAACTAATGCGGAAATTATGGCCATCCTTGAGGAAAATTCAGTGATGGGTGATGTTGTCGTCTTTACCGACGGATCAGTGAGGCGTGGCCAGAAATCTGGGTGGGCGTTCAGTGCTCGAGTTGACGGGAAGATAATTAAAGAACAGTCTGGAGCTTACGAGTGCACTACGTAGAGCATGGCAATGGAGGTCAAGGCAATAACAGAGGCCCTGGAATGGATCAGCATGGAAGCGTATAAACATGCCCTGTTTGTCACAGATTCGATGAGCACCCTAGAAAAAATCAGGAGTGGGTGGCTCTACAGTGACTGGAGAGCTTCCATTGCAAATAGCCACCTCCTAAGAATTACGTGGGTGTTCTGCCCTGGCCATGCCGGGGTGCACGGAAATGAATGTGCTGATGAACTTGCCGGCAAAGCAGCACCCAATGGCCGATTCATGCTCGACCCACCGATGGTGATCGCCAGATGCAAGGAGAGCCTTCACAACCAAGAGGAGACAGACTCCCACACACTCAGCACAATAAAAGAAAAGTGTGTGCGGGGCACAGCGAAAAAAAGTTTGCTCCGAGGAGTGGTCAGGCGTGTCTCAAATTAGCAGGAAAACCCTGAGGTGGACGCTGGAAAGGAGAGATGAGCAGCTATGGACGTGTGCCGCCTGCTATGATTCTAGCTCTGGATCCAGGTAAATCCAAGTTTGATTACATAATGGTGAAAAACTGTTGTGTGCTAACTTTCTCCAGCTTTGTATTGTATTTGTATCTGATTGTAGACTTTTCTGCATGGGACAGCGTCATTGGTGCAATATCAATTGACTTTTTGTCATCATACAGGACAGTTCTTATTACATATTTACAGGTATAGTGCACGTCGATATTGTGTGTGGGTGTGTAGAAAGTAAAAGTCTTTGGTTAAAGTTAAAGTGCATGTGTGCCGGAGGCCATGACCAGCAGTTTATTGCGCTGCTCACTTTCAGTTTGTTTTCTAGCATAGACTCTAGTTGTGTTTCTTTTTCTATGCCGTTCAAGTCAGTTTCTGTTAACTCAGTAACTTCCATCATACATTAATCATAATATTGTTTCCTGACACTACCATATTTCAGTTCTTTCACAAATTATATTAAAATGTTTACAGTGTTGTGTGTGTGAGTGGGGGAGGGGGTGGGGATGGCGAAAGTAGGGGTATAAAATAAAATGAGGAAAGAGAGAGAGAGAGAGAGAATGTGTGTGTGTGTGTGTGTGTTGTGAAGGAGGGGGGCGGGGGGGGGGGGGGAAGAAAAAGTCTATGTGAACGATGGCCGGTCAGTTCTATTAATCACGAGCCGCCACTGCCCCCCCCCCCCCCTCCTTTAAAAAATTCATCCCTCGAATAACATGTACTCAAACCTCCCCCTTTTCTTTTCCTCTTGAATAACATTGACATGTATTCCCCCCCTCCCCCCAAACCAATACTTCGTCCCTTGAATAACATGTACTACCCCCCCTCCCCCGAAACTCCTGACCTCTTCCGACGAAATGCTCGTTTGTTTGAGTAAAGAGAAGCACACAAGGAGTTTACAGTTTTAATTTTAAGCTCATTGGAAGCACATCAACACAATAATGGTTATTTAGAGCAGGGACTGAAACAGGAAATGGGAAGAAAAGTTGTAGGATTTCCTCCAGTGGAGCCCTGCCCTCCATCCATCAATCTTCCTTTCTAAGAGTTTTACGACACGAGCAACACAATAAGGTCGTATAAGTGCCGAAGATTGGGGGTGTTACAAGCGAGTTATAGACACAAAAAAGGAGGAGAGATAAAAACGAAAGATGTTTGATAGGAAAGAAGGAGCGAACCACACCAGAGCACCCGCCAACCACCCACGCCACCAACATTCCGACGAAAGTCCCTGCGCTCAAACTTATTTATAGAGTCTACCATGCCAGGGTAAGTTCCGCTCTCCTGTGATTGACAAATTTGTCGTCAGGATCGCAGACCTGTGTGGGTGCTCCCTTTGTTTTTTTTGTTTTTTTTTTAGTTTTAGTTAGAGATTTAACTTTTAAGACAATTGCAACACAATAAAGTCATAATATAAGCGCCAAAGATTAGAGGTGTTTGTTACAAGAGAGTAGAGAGTAACAAACTCAAAAAAAAGAAGGAGTGATAAGGACGATAGATGTTTGACAGGAAAGAAGGAGCAAACCACACCAGAGCACCCGCCACCCTTTTAGTTAAATTTAGAACACTTTCAGTGGGAATTTTACGGCACTTGCAGCACAAATAGGTCGTACAAGTGCAAAAGATTAATCCTGTAGTAACCACTCCCTGGTATTTTTTAAGAATATTAAATTTTAAAAGAAGTTGCTAGAATACATCCGACGTGTGTTTACAGAATTTTGTATTTCAATGTATTAAAAATACATGTATGTATCTGCTATCGGGCCTAAAGTGCAGTTTTATAAGACATATTATATTATGGGTACAAAATCGCGGGGTTCAGAAATTAGCGCGACTTCGTAGAACAAATTATTAATTCAAATTGAGGCCGAAAAATGCGAAAAACTTCACCACATACATGCCGGATGTGACGTTCAGACGTGGGGGAGAGTCCGAAAGTTGTGTGGTTGTGGTGTGAAGTGTGAACCATGAAAACAATAGGCCTAGCCTATTTAACCGGCAAATAAATTAAGGAAAATTTATAGGCTCCTTAAATAAAACGCACTGAATTGGCACGTTACTAACAGTAACAAGTAGGGTGTCACGTCATGTAACTTGTGTTTTCTCCGTAGGCTGGAAATTGGAGACAGCAGGCAGGTGTAATCTAGAGATCTCTGGACTGGTGGCTGATGAACCTGAAGTCAGAAGAAAATGGTAAGAATGGTGTGTCAGACACGTGTTTTACTTTAATATAGTCAAAGGTCACTGCTCTGTCTTCGTCTGAAAGAGAATTGCACTCCAACCCTTTGCAGGTGCGGTTGCACAGATGCAGAAGTTGGCCTGCAGGTCGTTGGGCGCCCTTGGCAACTTGTTCGCAGATACATTATCATATAACTTTGTCCCAAATTGCTGAGATAATGTTTGCATTTCTGCCACTTTTCAACACCTTTTTCCCCTGGTTTTGGAGCCAGGATAGAGAATTCTTCATCGTCAGGAACAACTTTTGCAGTTAACGCGGTTAGGTAAGAGACTGCTGTCAGTACCCCGCTGCAGAGAGATGGCCATGCCATGCCAGCAACTGATACTGCTGGGTCTTTGGCGGAGTCCATAGTGCCAACGTCTGACACAAGAAGGGCAGTGTCACTAAATGATGCTGATGCTGAGGGGATGTCGGCTGTGTCACTTGATGATGCAAAGGGAAAATAGTGCCAACGACTTGATCCGGAGTGAGGTCAGCTGTGACAACAGCATGATCAACTGAAACTACAGGGACGTCAGACTGAGCTACGTAGTCTCAAGAGAACTTGTTGGGACCAAAAGGGCAAAACTAGAAGCCAGCACCTGGAGCTCTTCAGTTGTGATTGACATTTGTTCAGTTGGGTCCAATGTGGTCACTGGCGATTTTTTTAGAGGCGTTCAACAAGTAACCAATGGAAAGTCCCACTTGTCAAAGCATGGCACAGAAATATCTAATTCTGGTGTCTCATGCTAGAAAACATTGTCCACTATGTCTTCAATGGCCCTTCCCAATACTTCATTTGGCGACAATGATTTGGGGGAAGATTTCCCGCCTTGACGATGAGCACATTTGTCAGATTTCGAAAGCAACAATTAGACCAAATGTTGGCCCCAGCTGACGGGAAACATTTTTAGCGAAGAATAAAACAAAGGCACGTTTTGTTTTGACAATAAAATAATGTTTTGAGTGATCACTTGAGTTTTCCCGTTTTTAGTAGTATTACGGAATTTTCAAGACACAAAATCATGATCACCAGCAGTCATAATTGTCATACCGACTTGCCTTATACAGCATCATATTAACCGTTTCGCACTTACAGCGCCCGTATGCGCCCGCGCCGGTGACCCCCGCTCATCCCTATAGCGCCCGAATGCGCCCGCCATGGGGGTGTTTGTTTCGTTGCCGCGGGAGGCTTCTACTTTTACTATCATCAGAAGTTTCACTTAGCTATCTTTATAGAGGAAGAGTTCCTGTTTACTATGGTGTTTTTCTTGTTTCGCTAGCACAAAGAGTCACTTTTTGAGCGGGAACAAAAATCGGAGGAGATTTTAGTTGTAAACACGCCATCATGTCTCTAGGATGCATGGGCGCAAAGCTGCCCGATATGAGTACGGCAGAAACAAAATAAAAACACCCAAAGAAAAGTCTTTTTGGTGCTTTCAAGTTTCCACCAGAGGCTTCAATCTCTGTGAATGTGTTGTATTTCTTTTGTGTGGATTACCTCTTTGTCAGTGGCAGAAACTTCGTGAGTTGAAGAAATGTATACGAGATCTAGAATCTAGATCTAGATCTAGACTCGGAATCCAAGACACGCATCTCAGAAAGACCTCTCTATCATTTCATACTCTTCTATTACACTTATAATTTTGTACTCGTAATTTAGCTCATTCATTTTCCTTTCAGAAAATACTATTTTCATCATTTTTGGTTGTGTTTGTGATTTCATACAATATTTTTAGTAAGGTACCCCTTCAATTTTCGTGGAGTTATTGCCCTTGTCTTAAGGATGGGGGGGCCACAGCTGGCCAAGCCTGCTAAGTGCGATAGGGTTAAAAGCATTTATTCGTCAGCAAAATGTGTTGTTTTGGTGGTTGTCAGTAATAACAATTTTGGAAATCTATCATGTTGAGATGTTAACCTGTGATTGGTGTGCGTGGACAAAAAGACTATTTTCCACGTCCATGCAAGGGTATAGATCTTCTGATGTTTAATGGGCATGTCATTTATTTTTGGTGCTTCCTGATTTGCTGCTCCTTGCTTTGTAAAATTATACTTTATTGACTATGAAGTTAGGGGAAAAGGCGGAGTTCAGTTTGAATTGTGAACAACGTTGTTGGTTTTTAGGAGAACAAGAAGGCTGTTTTCAATATACGGGGCATAGACATTCTGTTGTTTGGTGGGACATGGAATTTTAATTTTGCTGCTTGTAGATTTTCTACCTTAAGTGTAAACAACCTATTAACCTTATTAGTACTAAATCCGTCCCTTCGCCATGGGCAAGAAAAAAGGGGACCCAACACAATGGATACGGTTGGGCAAGATAGACCGTCAGGCATTACTACTATTGTTAGGCCTACTATTTACCCAATGTAAGCGACACGGTGCAACAGCTGAGTAGGCTGGGCCGCCACGCAAAAAACTGGTATGTGCCTCACTAGCATTAACGTGTTATGTGCCCGACGACTTTTGTCTACTTGGAGATAAGAGGTTTTTTTCATTTGTGTTTTAATGTGCTTAATTTTCACCCTTGTCCAGTATTGTTTGACTGGGACATGCGGTATGTTATAAGAGACTTATACCCCAAAACAGTACATTTTGAAAATTTTGTCGCTTAGAAGGTTTGTACACTACGACAACGAAATATTTTAAGTGACTAGACCCTTGTCAAAGGCCAGAGGTTTAGGATGATGTTGAAAATGAAAACAAAGCAAAAGGCTATAGCACTAGCATTTCGCAAGTCACAACGGTGATGGTAATTTGGAGTGAACAAAGTTAAACAGCATTGTGCGATTCAAGCGTTTTTACGATTTATCTAGGTCTAGATAGATATTTACTCAGGGTATTTTATCATTGAATACTACAAATGTGAAAAGGGGGCTCTTGTGGCCTAGAGGTAAAGGTGTTTGCCTCTCATTCAAAGGTCCTGGCTTCAATTTCGGGTAGCGGCGGAAAAATTTTCTTCTCTAAAATTGCCTCCTTTCACCTCCTTTCCTGCTCTCTAGCATTGTTCTGTCATCTGCTTTCGCCTCCACTTTCTACCCCCACCCCCTCACCTCCTTTGCCCCCTCCTCTGGGCTCCTGACTCTTTCTGCAGCCTTTCTTCTGCTACTCCTTGGCTCCTTCTTACTGCTGTCTTTCAGCCACACCCCTGATCTTCTGGGAGGAAAGATCTACACCTAGCCTTATCGGACGAGGGCGAAAAATCTCTGAGGTCTCGTGTGCAATTTATGCACGTTAAAGATCCCTTGGTTGTCTAAAATCGATAAGAGCGGGCTTTGGCCGCCACCTGGGCAAAATTCAAAATTTCTTACCAACTGAAAATGTTTCATTTTAATGTGTCTCGTGCGCTCATATGACCTAATGCAATTGCGAGCGCCGTAAAACACTTACCAAAAAAAAAACAAGTGAAAATACACAGTGCTATTGCCAGTGTATGGCAAAGACACTTTACTAAGCTTTTCGCCGGTGTTTCCTTTTTTTTTTTCCTGTATAGAGAGATATGAGATGCTATGTTTCATTTGACTGTATGTATAGACTTCTATACTTCTATAGATATATAGAGGAAGGATGGATGTTGGCGTAGTTGTGTGGGACATTAACACTTTTTTCGCTTTCTGTTATTTTTGCTTCAGGAAAAACAAGGATTTCAAGGTGCATCCAGTCACTGCCAGAAGGATGAACAGACCCTCCCTAGGTGGGGATCAATGTGTACAGCAAGCAAACCCTGCGGCCAAAATGCTCAAAGCAGCACAATACAACAAAGTTCACAGACTTCAGATGGTGACGATACTCTCCGAGCGTCAGTTAGTGGGGGGCAAAGATCTCTTCAAGGTACAGTTTACTCCAGCAAAAGTCACAAAAAAGGCCAAAAACAGGCCTCTCAAAATACAACAAATGGAGGACACCAGTCGTCCCTGGCCTCAGCTCGCAAAAGCTGTCGTAGTTCAGACTCTGAGACACCCACAAAACGTCAGCGAAAGTCGAAGTGTGACAAAACTGTAGGGTCTGCCTCCAGTTGTACATCCCGTCAAGACCATCATTTTCATTTCTATCGGAGAAAAAATCAACGGTCAAATCAAAATACTGCACCTTGGTTTACTAAATTATCCAAACGTCTCTTTGAGGCTGTGGAGGCTGGACGGTCAAATAAAGTGGCTGAAATCTTAAAAAATGATGGCAAGTGTTTACTTTCTGTCTTGGATGTTGCCCTGCATAAAGCCGTGTCTCAGGGTCACCTGTCTATAGTGCAAAACCTGATGCATCATGGAGCTAATCTTTATACACAAATTTTGGGACAGACTTGCTTCCACATTGCTGCAGAAAAAGGGCATGTTCATGTCATACAGTTTATTCTCGGAAAAAAGGTGGGTGGAGGTATTTTCTCAAATTTTACATTTGATTTTGGTGGCAACACTCCACTGATTCTTTGTCAGGGCACATCGAGTGCAGCTCACATCACCAAGATTATTTTGTCACACTCGCGCGGAGCAGCGATCAATGTTCAGAACCTCAAAGGAGAAACCGCATTGATTAAAGCTGTGCAGAGTCGGAACATTAGCGCTGTACACCAGTTGGTGATGGCCGGGGCCAATATGAATCTGAACGACATGAAAGGGAATACTGCCAAATCAATAGCCACTGCCATGGGTATGTATGGGTTGTTGGAGGTACTGGCCAAGGACACTGGTGGTCAAGGATTGACCCCAATAATGACAGCAGTAAGGGCCCAAAATACTGATCTTTTAGCAGCGCTACTTATGTCAAAACAGTTTGATGTGGATGAAAAAGTAAACACAGGTAAAAGAGGGAAAGACAGTTACACTGATACTGCCCTCACGATGATCTTAAATTCAAAACTGGATGCAAGGCAGGAATTATTACGCAGCAGCATTGACTGGAAATCCCATTTACATAATTTTGAACAGTTAACTTTCAAAGAGCTGGACATTATAGCTATGCTGGTGAGAGCTGGAGCAAATATCCATGTTTGGGGTAGGTATGGCTATTATAATAGTCCTTTTCAAATGGCCGTGGAACTTGGAGATGGGCGACTTCTTGACGTTTTGCTGAAAAATGAAAAAGGGATTGGAAATTGTGACTCATATGCAACAGCTTTAGGGGTTGCTGCTAGGAATGGACGTTGTGATCTCATAGATGCTCTCACCCCAGGTATGGCAGCGCTGGAACGTTATTTTGTTCCAAAACAGAAATGGAATCGCAGTTTTCATAATACTTTGAATGATGCATTGAGGGTTGGTAACGAAGAGTGTGTGGGTAAACTCTTGAAGATCTTCAAAAATATTGATTTTGATAGTACCATCACTGTCGCAATTAAGTCTGGTCGTTATCCTGTGTTTTTGATGGTGCAGAATGCCTGCCTAGAACAATTTCACCAACAAGTGTCTGGTGATGAAGGGACGAAGTGGCTGTGTGCCGCTATCACCAGCAACAGTTTGGCTATTATAGAAAATCTCATACTTAATGGTGCAGATGTGAACAAGTGTTGTCGTTCCTTTGTCAATGGTCGTTGTACAGACTCAGCTTTAGAACAGGCTGTTTTGTCAAATCTCACAGAAGTTGTCAAAATTTTGATGAAGCATGGCGCTACATTAAACATCGACATACTCACTCTTGCTCTATCACATCACCAGTGTATGGCTGAAATGCGAAAGTTGCTTCTTAGCTATGATGACATTGACCCCAATCAGATTAATTCCCAAGGTCAGTTGCCTCTTTCAGTAGCAGCGTTTCATGGGGATTTGGAGTCTGTTGAGACGCTCATCAAAAAAGGTGCAGATGTGAATTTTAAGGGTAATCCTCTTTCACGTCCTGCTCTTATTTCTGCCGTTGTTGGAAAAAATGTTGAAGTGGCTCGCTATTTGCTTGATTGTGGCGCTGATGTTAACACTAAGAATCCCTCTGGTGAAACTGCGCTAACCAAGGCTGCCAGAACTGATGATGGGTCCATTGTTTCTTTGCTCATTGAAAAAGGGGCGTGGCTTAATGTCTCAAATTATGAAGACCTCACAGCCTTGATGCTAGCTGCAAGTTGCAAAAACTTTCCTGCTTTTCGTTGTTTGATGGAAGCTGGTGCTGACTTTGACCTCAGATGCCATTATAATTATAATGAAACTTTGTTAACTATGCTTCTCTCTGAGAAATCATATTCTGTATTTGCTAGGTTTATAGTGTGTCTTGTCAGGCATGGAGCTAAAGTTTCTACAGGGGAAGCGATGTTGGCAGTCCACAACAGCATTGCCCTCGGCAATTTTCATGTTTTGTCAGCCCTGATACACTATGGTGGTTTTAATCCTACTCTGTTTAAAGATATCCATGTTAAAAAGACTCCGCCTTTTTGTAAGGCAAAAGGCTTTCTGATAGCAGACTTTGCCGGCGTTTTCTCTCCCCTTTGTATGGCGTTACTGTGTGGTCATATGACAGTGGCTCGGGACATGCTGCAGGCCTCCTATTTGACAACGTCAGACTTGACTCTTTTGCCGAGACATACAAAAGTCAGAGAGTTTCTTAACAGAAGAAGGTTTGACGAGAGTGTAGCGGTTCTAAATGAGATGTCGGTCTCCGTACCGTCTCTTCAACAGATTTGTTTTGTTCGTGTTTCTGACATGTGTGGGTCTGAGCCAGGTCGGAAGGAAAAAGTGAGACAGCTTGAGCTTCCAGATTCTATAGAGAGGTCGCTTTTGTTTTCTTGCAGGGATCAGTTGATTGGGGGGAAGTGCTGCATGGCAGAGAATTCATCAGAGACAACACCTGCCAAAGTACGGGAGAGAAAGGATAATTATATTATATTTACCGGTGCCCGGTAGGCATATAAAAGAAAATATTTTCTTGAGTGCCGTGAAGTGGAGAAAATACCCTATGATTTGAGAGCTCTCTTGATAACAAATTAAAATCACTTTATCCGTGAAGAAATGGATCATAGCAATATTTCTTACTTTTTAATCTTTATTTGAGACCTTGCTTCTTCTATGAGTTATATATTTAGATCCGTTTGTCTGCGGAATTTTTTTCTGTCCTTACATTATATTATCGGGTTATAATTTCTCACAAAATTAAGCTATAATAACAGTATTTTATGCCTCAAAAGAAAGGGAAAAGAATGTAAGATCATATTATATTTTATAAATTATATATAGATACGTGTTATGATGCAGTGGATTCAGGCGCTTGTCAGATTTTGGGCGTATGGCGTTCCTGGTTTCATTTTAAAGCTTGCTCATTTGCTGTGCTCTTAATGAAAATAATGCTGATATATCTTGAATAGAAGTCGAGATACTTGTTATTAAAGTCATTAGGAATAAAATATGCAATTTATTGTCGCCATTGTGATTTTGGATTTTTCTTTTCTTTTTTTTGTTTTTGTTTTTTTTTTTTTGTTGCGAAACGTATTCTATGAAGCATGTTTCATATAATATCCTGGTTAAAAATCTTTTCAAATAACTTAAAGGGGGCTTTTTAAAATTTTTGACAATATATGAAAATCTCAGACATCCTTTTGGTAAATCAGTTTCTTTCCTTCTGTAAAAATTTGCCCGATGTCACCTATCTGATCTTATCATAACGAATAAAGAAATGGATCATAGCAAAATTTCCTATTTTTTAACCTTTATTTGAGGCCTCACACTTTTTGTGATTTACAGACATCTGTCTATGAAAAAAACTGTTATTACTGATTACATTTTTATTGCCCTGCGTTCAAAAGCTTAGGAATATCACTCATGGATTCCCAGTGCACAGTATCCTGCCATTGCAGTCTCTTCAGGTTTATATACAATTGTACCGCAGGAATGCGAATTTGGTCAGGTGTGCAATGAATATTGTAGCATTCTATTCCTTTCTTGTGTTTATTTTAGCGCATAACTATTTTTGTCTCCTTTCCTTGTACCCGAACATTGATTTTTGCTTTTATTTGTAATGTCTTGGGCTTCAGAGATATCATCAATGGCAATTGCTCGATGAAGATAAAGCTTTTTTTGTTTTTTTAGTGTTGAGTTGGGGGGGGGGGGTATTTAGGAAAAAACGCCATTATGATAATAGTATTTCAAAAATTGTTAAAGTCAAAAGTTCATTTTCATGAAACCCAAATTGTACTTTTTTTTTTTAAACTAATTTTATTGTGGTCACTATGTGTGCTCTGCTTTCTTTTAATCCTATCCGTACGTCATGTTTTACTATCGTATCCATACGACGTGGGGAACTCTTTACCTCCACTTTCCAAAGAGGAAATTTGCGCTTTTCATAGCAGACTGTCAAAATGATTTTTTGAGAAATGCTGAAGGTTTCAAAGAGATCTTCACACTAGAAGTATTCTAAAATGTAAAGAATACAACAAAATGACCCCAGGGCGTACGGATAGGGTTAAAGGGCATTTCAACTAGGGAACACCATTTTATTATTACAACATTATTTATTATGTTTGCATTCATGAATTTTTGGTTAAGGATTTTGATAAAATTAAAAGGGATAGTATTGAATTAATGAATATGATGTACTTTTAGACTTTGTTTTAAAATGACATTTTCACTTAAATTATTAAATTAAGTATCTTGGCTAAATTGGCACTCTAGCGATTCATCGTGTATGGTTGCTATAAAAACGTATCATTTTTACAACATGTACGTTATTCATAAGTCAATGACTCTCTAGGTGTAAAGAATAGTTTTGATGACTTGAACCCAAAGCGTTAATGACCTTGATTTGAATGCTGGCCGCTGCTCCATTGATATAATGTGTAACGTAAACTGTACATCATACACAGTTACTTTAAAGTATTTCATGTTCCCGTAACTGCCACAGTCCAACCTACCAAGACTGTGTGCCTGCTTCCTTGGTGCTGTGTTGCTATTGAACCCGTACCTAGAACTAGAAGAAATGGAAGTTAAGAATCACATGTACGTCATGTAGTTTGTTTTGAAAGTTTTATTCTGTCGGGGGGGGG